AGGGAGTATAGAATTTCCCTTTGATAACGTAATATATATATTTTGTATGAATCTCATCACTCTACATATATATATATATATATATATGTGATTAGAGTTATAAATCAATCGAATTATTTATAAATAGCTTGAGTTTAACTAATTTAACGTTCAACTGAGTTTGACTTGTTTGACAAAACATCGAGCTGGATTCAAAATTTCAGGCTTAGTAGGTTTGATTAGGCTCGTCAACACAAAATTGTATAAATTATATTTATTTTTAATAACATATAAAATATATTTTCTATAATTCATATTGTTTCTTTGTTTATATTTGGTATTTTTCCAGATTATAAATTTGATTAATGACATAAATTAATAATATGAGTACTCTTTTTATAGTTTAGTCATTTTCTTATTTTTCTTTTAATGTGCATATTAATTTATTTATTTTTCAAGTTCAAACTCAACTCGTTATGTAATCAAGCTCACTTCAGTTGTGCTTGAGTTTTCATATCTTTGATGAGTTGAGCTCGAGCTCAATTCTTCAAACTCGACTTAGGCTTGACTAAAGATTGACTAATTTTTAACAAGCTCAACTGAACTTGATTCGTTTATAATTTTACATGTGTTCCAACCCTAAAAACAACAATCATAAAAATCCATCTTTCTTCATGTGATAAATAAAATGAAGAAAGAAGCACGTTTAGCTTGTGCTAAGCATTGAATTTTTATTTTTATTTTTTTTTGGGGGGTGTTTAAATCTATATTTTTTTAAAACCCATTTAGGGTAATTTATCAAGGTCATATTTTTAGGACGTATTACTTATTAAGTCCTAAATTTATCAGTCGCTCTTGTTGTTATAGTCATGATCTCTAGATAAATAAATCTAATTAATAGAACTGATTGGTAATATTGTGTTTCCAAAACACAATATAATAAATTAAAGTTTTAGACATAACAATTTAAAAATGAAATCACTTTTTCAGAACAAAATAGTGTTATTGTTTTATTTTTAGTAATGAAAAATGAATTATTATTTTTTTTGGAACCAAAATTTATTTTAAAAATAATTATTTTTTACAAGAAATTATTTTGTCTCTAAAACTATATTTATTAGTGATATTTTCAAAATCGTGTGATTTATTTTTTTTTTTGAATGATTTTTGCAGCAACTCTCATGACAACAAATTTCCCGAGCATACATTTCTGGTTTAAGAAATATGTTTTAAAAAATGATTTTGTGCAAATATTCAGTCATCCATAATGCATCTACAGTTATCCTCCCCAATACTTAGACAACAATGCTACGCACATAGAAAGTGGAGCACAGAAGTCGAACACAAAACACTGTTTTTTTTTTTTTGAATGATTTTTGCAGCAACTCTCATGACAACAAATTTCCCAAGCATACATTTCTGGTTTAAGAAATATGTTTTAAAAAATGATTTTCTGCAAATATTCAGTCATCCATAATGCATCTACAGTTATCCTCCCCAATACTTAGACAACAATGCTACGCACATAGAAAGTGGAGCACAGAAGTCGAACACAAAACACTGTTCGCCGATTGTCCATCCTAATGACTCTCTGAATGAGTGAAAAATACTATGACAGTCATGGTCAACAAATAACAACCGCGGTCGACAAGATTGACTGCCACGGTCGACAAACTCTGTCCGGTCGTCCGAATGGACTATCGGTGAATATTTTTTGTGTTTAATTTATGTGTTCTATCCTCTGTGCTCCTAGGCTTTTTGATACTTCGATGCAAAAATCTTATAAATATTAGGAAATTATTGTTCATGGAAACTTTAGAAAAATTATTATATATTAGTGAAAACTTTTATGATATTAATTATTAATATTTATAATTTTTTCACTATTTTTGTACATTTGTAATATTTATGATATTTATATTAATTATTTTCATTGTATTGCATGTCTTCGTAAAAATAAATGATAAATATATTTTTAAAAATAAATCATCTAATTTTTTAAATACGATAAAATAAAAATATTATGATTATCAAATTGAATTAATTTTTTTTATAGATAATATGCATTGAGGGTTATATAAACGAATAATTTAAGTTATCAAAAATTTTGACCAGGATTTAAATTATCAAAATGACATTCATGATGAACTCCACGAACCTATTAAATTTTTTCTATTAAGATATAAATATGAGAGAATACCAATCCATTAATATATCATATAATATAAAAACTCAAAAAAAAAAAAAATGTATTAAAACAACAACTATTAAGACAACTACCAACACAAAACTTGGCCAAGTTAAAAAAAAATAAAAATAAATAAATAAATAAAATTGGAGAATCACCTGTGAGTGAGTTTTCAAAAAGTTAATTACTATTACAAGAAAAAGTTTATAATTTTATATTGTAATATTTACAAAAATTTATTATTAATTTAAAAATATTCATTTAAATGTAACTTTCCCAAAAATTTCAAATTTAATTTTTTAATCAACTTAACTACTTAAAAATTACTCAAAATTATAATTTTATAGTTCAAATTTATTATGTACATGAATTTTATATCATACAAATTTAATTTTAACCATACAATTTTCATTCCAGATAAACACAAAGTAACTAAAATTGATTCATAGCATTTTTTTTTTCTTTTTCAATTCAATCATCATTCTTACTTGAATTTTTTTAAAATTCCAAAATATCCCAAGTTTCTTGTTACATCATCTGTTTCTGCTCCCATCTCTGATCACTTGTCACTTTTTCGTTCAAGCCAAACAAGGAGGACCAAAGGGATAATGGATATAGTAATCTTCATGTAAATGACACTAAAAAGACACGTTTTTAACAAAAGTACCATGACCAAAACGTGTAAGGATCTTCCATCTTTAAATAATTATGTCTTTTTATTTCAATTCACTCACAATCATTAGATATGTCTTAAAAATTTCACATCTTGAATTCTCATATTATTCAATGGTTATGAATGAATTGAGATAGAAAGCTAAAATTGTTTGAGAACAGAGGATATCTGCTCAACCAAAACCTAATCTTTAGCTGTTAGTAGTAGTTCCCAACTGAATCCGACCATCACTGTTATCATTATCCTTAATTTTCTTGTTCTTCTCTAATTCTCTAAGAGTCGATCTCCACTTAAAGAAGGTACCAAACAAAAGTTGCATTTCCTCGAGAGTTCTACTCTGTGTTTCTAGAAGCAGCGTATAAAAGAATACCCAACTAGCAATGGCCACTCCCATGAAGAGAAAGAAAGCCCCACCTATCGAGATTGCTTTGTACAAAGAGATAAAAGTCATCGATATGGTCCCACTTCATCAGACGGTTCATAGCTGTTTCCATGCTGGTCGAGCAAGGATCCCCTCCTTGCATCATTTCCTACTTGCAGGGCCATTGGGCCTACTTTTAGGCCCAATTTTGATAATCCGAATAGTTCATGTTTTAAGATTTGTTCAGTATATCATACTTGTAAAAAATCAAGTTGATCGGTTATCAGAAAGCATGTGTTCGGAAAAACCGAACTAAAAACTATTTTTTTTTAATTTAATAAACAGTTTTCCGAATACATGCTTTCTGATATCCGATCAACTTGATTTTTTTATAGGTATGATATTCTGAACAAATCTTAAAATATGAACGGTTCGGATTATCAAAATTGGGCCTAAAAGTGGACCCAATGGCCCTGCAAGTAGGAAATGCAAGGATGAAGTTTAAGGAGGGGATCTTGACTCATGCTGGTCCCTTGTGCCCGCAACCTTAATGGAAAAATCTCCGAGCTGTAGACCCATGCGATGGCCCCCATCCCAATCGAGAATGTTCCGACGAACGATAACACCGTCGTGATTGCCAAAGCAACTACCCACGCCACTTTCTTCTTCTAGTGATCAAAAAATCAAGTTGATCGGTTATTAGAAAGCATGTGTTCGGAAAAACCGAACTAAAAGCTCATGCTGGTCCCTTGTGCCCGCAACCTTAATGGAAAAATCTCCGAGCTGTAGACCCATGCGATGGCCCCCATCCCAATCGAGAATGTTCCGACGAACGATAGCACCGTCGTGATTGCCAAAGCAACTACCCACGCCACTTTCTTCTTCTAGTGATCTATGATCGTCAATGACAAACCTAGACTTGCGAGGGACAGGATCATACCTCCAACGCTACTCAAAAGTAACGGTCTTCGCCCGACCCGATCCAGTAAAAACGTAGCCACTAGAATTAATATAGTCTTGGTAAATCCAACGGCCACCGTAGCGAGTAGCTTATCGGACTTGCTAGTTATCCCGACTTTCTCGAATATTTTGGGGTTGTACAAAACGACGGCGTCTATGCCAGATGCCTGTTGGAAGAAGTGAATCCCAACACCGGCGATCAGGATGTAGAGGACGGTTGGCGTCGGGAGGAGGATGAGCTCCTTCCAGACACCTTCGCCTTGACTACGCTTCGGCACCGGAACGACGTCGTTGTTACAGTCCTCCGAAATGCCTGTGGCTTCCTTGATGTCAGCGAGCCGCAGCTGAGCCTCCTCTTTGGAGTCGGAGGTCTTGTCCAGAACTCGCTTGGTGTCGCCCAGCCGACCTTGTAAAATGAGCCACCGTGGCGACTCTGACATGGCGAGGACCCCCAACGCCAAGAATACTGAGGGAATCGCTCCGAGTCCGAGCATGAATCGCCATCCTAAGTGAAGTGAAAGCTTCGAGAACGCATAGTTTGATACATATCCCAGCAACAAACCTATAAGCTTCTTGTGTAAGGGAAAAGTTAGGGATCATGAAATTTTTTTCATAAAAATGATCATGAAAGATTTATGATCTTTGGATTACCTTGATTAGTGTGTTGTGATTTATTCTAAGTGTAATCCAAGGGTCGCAAAGCTTTTATGATTATTTTCATGAAAAGTTTTTCATGATACTTAGCATTGCTGCTTGTGTAAATATATATATATATATATTATGTGTATGAGATGAGAAGTAACAGAGAGATTGGAATCTAAAAAATATGAAAATACCTGCGTTGATGAAGACTTCGGGGAAAGAGGTGAGGAAGCCGCGGGAGGCGGCGGGAGAGACTTCGGCAGTGCAGACGGGGGCGATCAAGAGGGCGTACCCGACACCGATGCCGGTGACGAAGTGGCCCACAATGAGGAAGGCGTAGTTGGTGGCGAAGCCCATCAGGATGGCACCGGCGAAGAATATTGCGGCGGCGATGACAATGGTGTACTGACGGCCCACCCAATCGGAGGTTCTACCTATGGCGGCGGCGGAGCCCCAATCGGAGGTTCTACCTATGGCGGCGGCGGAGCCGAGGAGGGAGTGGAGGTTGATGATGCCCATTAGTACTTCCAGCTAGACGTCGGAGATTTTGAGGTCGTCCTTGATGAAGAGTCCTGCTCCACTCATCACCCCAACATCTACACATCATCATCACCCGTAAATTTCTTTAGCTTTCTTCCCATAATTTTCCCGGAAAAAAATAAAAAGAAAAAGTTTTATGCTATGTTTGGTTGGGGGATTTGAGGAGGGATTTGAAAAGAGAAATGGAAAAGGTATGTGAAATGAGAATAAAATATGCCTAAATTTTACATCGTTTCACACACCTTTTCCCTTTCCCTTTCCAAATTTCTCCCCAAATTCTCTAACCAAACACAGTATTAGAGTATGATTGGATGATGAAACTTACCATAACCAAGTAAGATGGAAGTCATGGAAGCTAAAATGGCACAGGCGAAAGCATACTTGTTTCGTTTTGGTTTCTGCGGTGGATCTAAAGTTGGAATATGTGTTTGGGTTTTGCCGGGAAAGCCATTGTTCTGAGGCTTCCGGTCAGCCATCTTTGAGAGAGAGAGAGATGAGAGCAAGCTTCAAACGGGCATGAACAGGAGAGAGGTACGTAAAGGTATGTTGATGGAGGAGGGATTGTTGAAGTGGGAGATGAAATAGGCTGAACTTCTTTTGTTGCGGCGGTACAGCAAGAGCCGTGCAGTACTTAAATAGAGTGAGGCTTATCTCATTCGGGATGATGATTGAAGACCACAACGTCGGTTGGACTAGGAGAAGTTAGAGTATTATTAGCAAGTGCATTGGCATCTCTAATGGTTGATCTTTTATTTCATTATTTGAGTAAAAATTTTTTTTAATATCAAGTATTTTAATAAAGTTTCATCAAATCATTAGTTGATGGGGCAGATATTTGGCCGATTGATTAGTCGGTATAAATTTTTGGTAATTTTTTATCTTGAGGTGAACGTTTAGAGAGATATTTGGTGGTAAAAATTTAATAATGAACAATGATTTAATAAAAAGTATATTGATTCTTAGATTGATGAAATATTTGAATAATCTTATATTTGACTATCTATTTAATGAATAGTTAAAGCAATAAAAATAAGCTTTTCCATCGCATTTAAATTTGATGAATCATTGAAGTTGCTTTTAGAGGTTTTTTTATTTTTTTATTTTTTACAAAATTCTAAAAATACACTTCATCAAACTTAAGGGTGGTTTAGGAAATTGGTTAAAAGTTGATTTTTTGGTTTCTTTGATTATTATTTTTTTTTTTGGTCCTTTTGTGTATAAAAAATTTAAAAAGTGATATGACTTAAAACGGATTAAAAGTTAAAAGTTAGTTTTTTATTTGCTTTCCAAATGGCTCCTCAATTATTGTTTAATTATTTTAATTGAATATCAAACCACTAATTATATGTAATTAGGAAAAGAGAACTCAAAAATGAAATAAATAATAAAGAGTTTGTTAGAGAATATATTTGAAAAACTAAGTAGCTAAAATATTAAAAAAATAATAATAAGCTTTTTGTTAAAATTTGACTAAAAATTTGACTATTTTGATTGATATGTTCTTATTGGTTGTGTAGAAGTAGCGTCACATGCACTGTAATTGATAAATAGAATGAAACTTATAGGCTATGTTTGTTTGGCATATTAAGTTGGGTGAGATTGTTAGTGAGACGATAGTTAGTGAAGAGATTGTTTATGTAGAAAATTGTTAGTGAGAGAATTAAATAAAAATGTGTTTGTTTTTATGACAGTGTGAGAGATGGTTACTGATGAGATTATTAAATTATTTTTATATAAAATAAATAGAAAAATATTTCTATATTAAAAAAAATAAAACAAATATTAAAACAAACAGTGCACTTGATAAAAAAAATTAAAATTAAAAAAATAAATTTTTAATATAAAATAGACTCAATCCACTCACTATTTTTCTAATCATACCTAAAATCTAGCCAAGCTAATTCCCATTCCCCCTCTTGAAGGGGATTACTAAACCCGGCACACTATTAATATCTCCTCTCAAATCATCACCAAATAAGGTGTGGGTAGAACTCACATTCATATTAATCCAATCTAATCCAATCCGACTCCTTAACATGCTAAACAAATACGACCAAAATTTTATGTTAAATATGAATAATATAATAGTTTGTAATTTAAAGAAAGTATCACGTGGCCGTGGCGTGCGAAAATCAATCAAGAAATTTTCGTTTGACGAGTCTCTCTTTATCTGCCAACTATGTAGTGGGAGATGAAATAGGCTGAACTTCTTTTGTTGTGGCGGTACAGCAAGAGCCGTGCAGTACTTAAATAGAGTGAGGCTTATCTCATTCGGGATGATGATTGAAGACCACAACGTCGGTTGGACTAGGAGAAGTTAGAGTATTATTAGCAAGTGCATTGGCATCTCTAATGGTTGATCTTTTATTTCATTATTTGAGTAAAAAAAAAAAAAGAGAAATGTTAGAATGGAATTAAATGAGGAATATTTTGGAATTGGTTAATAAATTTAAATTGAGGTTGTTCCTTAAACAAAATTGTTTTAAAAAAGGATTTATGGTTTTCTAGCTACTATAAATAGGCTCCAAACAAACTTTTCTCATTATTTTCTTTCCTCTCTCTTTCTCTTTTCCATTTCTACACCGTGAGTCTCCTTTCTCTCTCTCTAAACTCAACTTTTTCACTTAGATCTTTAGATCTGCTCACCTAGAGCCATATTTTCACTTTGATCCTTTGAGAAAGGTTGTAGATCTCGTCAAGGGCTTTCTTTTGATCCAAGTAGTTCGTTATTTCATCGCCGGTGATTTTTGGATTGTCTTCTCTTTGCTTCAAGAGGTAGGGATTTCTGTACTCATTTTCAATACCTCGCCTATAGATAGACATGTGGTAAATTTTATTGCATAAAAACCATATTAATTATGGATTTCCTTGAAAGACATGAAAGGGATCTAGGGTTTGATATTTGTGATTGAAGTTGCTTCGTTGGTTGTTGTTTTGGGTTAATTGGGGAGTAGTTTAACATGTTTATGTTGAGAGGGAGGAAAGCCCTAATTTAATCACCTACCGCTACCACCACCCACCATTCGCCACCCACCTGCCACCACCACTCACCTACCGCTACCACCACCCACTTGCTACCACCCACCACCTACCACCGTCACCCACCCACCCACCACCACCACCAGCCACCTACCCGCCACCACCACTCACCTGCCACCCACCTGCCATCCACTTGCCACCACTACCCGCCACCACCACCCGCCACCACCACCCGTCACCACTACCATTACCACCACCACCACTACCCACTCGCTACCACCCGCCACCGTCACCCACCACTACCACCCAGCCGCCACTACCCACCGTCACCACTTTTCACCATCGTCTTCCGCCGCCACTTGCCACCACTTGCCATTTCTCACTCTTTTTTATATTTTAATTTTTTTAAAACATTTTGTCAATTATCAAACGCGTTTGTAGTTTATGTTTTTCTAAAAATAAACAAAAAATAAACAAAAATCAATTTATAAAATTTTTGTAAATATAAACTGAAAACGTAAACGTTATCAAACACACGCTAATCTATCCTCCCAAATCATCACCACTCCCAAATCATCACCAAATAGGGTGTGGATGGAACCTTCATTCAAACTAATCCAATAAGATCCCCTACCATGCTAAACAATTATTCTGTTAAATAATTTAAAAATACGAATAATATAATAATTTGTAATTGAAAAAAAAAGTATCACGTGGCCGTGGCGTGCGAAAATCAATCAATAATTTTTCATTTGACGAGTCTCTCTTTATTAACCACATGATTTCATTTTTAAAAACAAAATTGTTTTGTCATGTTTCACAATTCTTACCACCAACCCTTGACGGGGAAAAAACGACGGAGAAAATCAAGTTAGAAATGTCCTCCCAGCTAATGTAATAAAAAAATTCTCAAGCTAAAAAACAGATGTAATAAAAAAAATTAAGAAAAAAAATCAACAATGTATTTTGAACATCTTTCTTTTGCATATTTGTAATTAAAGATATCTATTACATATTTAATAAATATAAAATTAAAGTGTAAGTTCAGGTGTTTGAAAGGGTAATTTGTGTAACTAAATTGGGAGAAGCTAAGTAGAAGAGACTGTGCAACTTGGGCCGTGCTAAGAGCAAGAACGAACTTGGTGTTGGGCCAAACAAAGGATAGACCGGTCAAAGATAATTGATCGGATTAATAAAAGCTCAGCTACTTAGTGACGGTCAAAGCATTAACTGAGCTATAGCAGAAGACGGTTGAATGGAATTAGGAATGAGGTTCCGATTGAGCTACATGATGGGTCGCGTTGTGATAGCATAGTAGTGCGCCGTATTAGCATAGGACAACAAAGCATGTTGTTCGGTATTATTGGTAGCAAACAGAGTGAAATTAGCTTGGTCAATTGCGCTGACTGAGCAAAGAGTTGAGCCATCTCACTTGGCTTGCAATGAGGAGAGTGCCAAATGATATGCGTTATCCTTTGGGAATATGATTCCTAGGAGGAATTTACTAAGAGAAATTAAAGTTCTACTAAGATTATGTCGTGCAGAGCCGACAAAAGCTCAAGCCAAACTCTCATCCAGGTATGACAATTCATACTCCCGAATTTATAGAAATTTTGTATCCGTAGTCTACTTGCTGACATAGGCATCGGAGGGATTTCCAGCGCACACCCACTGGTTGGCTCACGTTTGTGATTTCAGGTATTACGACGATGCTTGAAGGAACGCGAGCTTGATCAACAAGATTATATGAGTGAAGATTATTTCGTACTCGTACAGTTAGTGATTTTTGTGGGAAGCATCAGAGAACTTACCTTTTGATCAAGTTTTCCTTCAGTGAGTTTCAATGGCACACAATAAAGATCTGCTGTAGTTTGCCATTGATGGCCAAATGCCAGAGGGAAATAGGAGGCGTGACAACTTGCCTCATGCTTTGCCCATGGCGAATTTAGACCCACAACGATAGAACCCTTACAAGGGTGTGCGAGAAAAGCAGGGTTTAAGTCCTTGCCACTCTCAAAGCCCAGATGGACAAAGGTGACGGACAGACACCCAGGTTCTGGAGGATCAAGTGAGGGAGCATAACGAGTTGATAAGAAGGATGGTAGTAGACATGAAGACTTTAAAGCGCCAAGTGAAGGGAAAATGTGTGGTTGGGGTGGAGATTCACGAAAGGCGAACCGAATCCCATTGTTCTGGGGATCAGGTTAGACATGCCACGCCCATGCATTCCTAGAGTAGAAGCCTCTGGATAGGCAACACTCATTCAAGAACCTCCAAAACTTATTACTCTAGATCTGAGAGGGTGAGGTCTGAAAGGTCATATACTGAGTGAAGTAGTTATCGACCCTCTACATTCATCAAACATCTACACAACATACAGAGTTGCCTAGGTCGGAAGATTTCTGGACTGTCTTGGTTGAAAGGGCACAAATGAGAGAAGTTTCCCAAGCACAAGACCTCCAAAGGGTGTCTACGTTGCAGCGATTGGCTTCTAAGATGCATGAAAGCGTCAAGGTTGCATTGCCAATGTCGCACTTCGCCTATAAGCTAGCAAACAAAGTGTTGGCAACATTGCAGAGCTCACCGTTCGTTTTGACGATAGAGAATGCACCATTGCCTTTAGGCTTTAACCAACCTAAGTTT